AACAACTGAGTCGAAAACGTAAATTGGCCACCGTGAAGAGTAAAAAAGCTGGCGTTTCGAGCGTTTGCCCTTCGTCAGTGCGATTAAGACAAGAGTTGGACGAGAGATATTCGTGAATAGTCGTTATCGTCACGAAACGGAGCCAATATTGTGCACGCTTTCCAAAAACGCTTCGTAACCTGCATATCAATCCGATTCCCACTGTAATAAACGTCTTTATAGTTCGAAAACCACTTGCTTTGGGTTGTAAGAGTGTTGGATGGAAAATAAAAAAACGAAACACTCTAGGACGCGTTTCTTATTATAACTATTGATATAAACTTTCATCTTTCCGTTTTAATTTCTACTTCCCCTGAGAAAAGCTGTTAATAAGAAGTTATCACATTAATTTTTTTAAAATAGCAAATCGCTAAAGACTTTCTGATGGTTGATATTTCACTTTTTAGCTTTTCGTGTTTTTAAATTTTCGAACGCTTTTTTTTAATTGCGTTGCATTCGAAACTTAGCTAGTACGCTCAGCAAGTGAAAAGATCCCATTAATCTTAATTCCATAATAACAATAACAAGACTGACTTACCGGCATAAAGAGCAGTCAAACAGCCGAGAACAATGAACATTTCGAGGAATCTTTTCATGATTTTCAGTCAAACTTGCTCGTGACGAAGTGCTTTGGTGAGTTTCGATCGATGACCATTCAGCTGTGCGAAGCTGTGGATCGAGTGCATTATTGGCTAACGTTGCCTGTAACAAAGCGTAAAAATAAACAAACACTAACAGCTAAACAATTACAATTGAAACAAGATATGTGATCTTTTTACGTCAGATTTAAATACAGGTGCAATTGGTTAATGAATTTTAAATCAAGGTTCACGAAAGCTGAACAAACTAAAATCACACTGGACTCGAGGTAAAGTCCGGTCTCAAGCTATCGTGACTTTTTCTTAGATTACGTGCTAAACTCATCATTGCCCCAGAATTACCTTTGTTAGAAAGTTGCCATTGTTGAAATGGAATTCGTCATCCGCGAGATAGCAGATGGAAGTGAAATATTCGATCTGAACAGAACATTTCTTATTTCAGATTCAACATGGGTTAAAATATTCACCTAAATAGCTTTCTGTTGGCTATTAACATGCGGTAATTAACAACTATTCACCTCAGCGTCGGTGGCTTGTGGTGGATATTTACCAAGCTACAAAGCGGCGAATCTTACTTATTTTTTTACTCTTACGGGTAAAATCTATTTCATAAAATACTTTCTTTGATTCATGAATGCGCAAACAATTCAAAGAGGAATGAAATTGCTGAAAGAAAATAATAATTATGTTAAAGGTTGTATAACTTTGTAGAATGTATAATTCGCAAAATTTTTTATTGGGGCATAGTACAATCGGCATAATCTATTGATCTTTCGCGTAATTGAAAGCCAATCGTAAACAAACAGGAGTAGAATTTTTCGCAAGGCGAGGTAAATGAAATTGAAAATTCCTGGAACTCAAGGGGCTGACGGCGTACTAAAGGAATTCTTAAGGGAGGGGAGAGAGGGGCCGAAGTAAAATGCGATGGATTATCTACGGGGGGGGAGAGAGTTGTAATACTCCTTATCACCATCTTCAGCATCACGTAAAGTATTGCTTGTCTGCTTGTCACAGGGAACTTAAACTGTGAACGAAATAAAAATATTCTCCATTCCTATAAGTGGATTTTAAGAACTACGTTGCGCACAGATGCTTCAAATTCTTGTGACTACCTACAATATCAAATTAATTGTTTTTCCCTATTATCGTGGTCACTGAAAATCGAACAAAACCTTGATTATTTTTTCTTTGTTTATAAGAGGACCTCGAAACCAGCCTTTTAAGCGGGGAGTATTATTCAAATTTTTTTATCTTTTCAATTAGTTTTGTCATTAACACCGTGAATAGGTTTTTAATTTTCTAGTTTTAATTTATGGAGGTCTAACAGTCCTTTGTTTGAAGTTCATAGCATTATTGCTAAGCAAGATTGCAAAAAGTCTTGCAAACCCCGCTAACAGTTTTATCATCCAAAGCGCGTCCCTGAAACTGGCTCAGAAATCATTTCGGAAAGTAAGAAAATCAATATTACTGGAAAAGTAATGCAGTCAGTTATTATCCTTGTTTTGTACACTTTACTTCCTACAAAAGTTATCGCAAATCAGGGTAAGACTTAATGTGTAGCTTTTGCTAAGTAAGTCCAAAACTTTTACCCTCTCAGTCGTCTGCGTTGCCCATCTGAATTTGTCTTTATACTATTTTTTCATCATGCTTTATAATAATATACATGAAAAAATTACGCGCGTGTTATTTGCTGAAATGGAGTGCAATCCTTCCTGTTACACGAGTGGTAAGTCGTAAAACGAGTGCAAACAACAAATAGCGCGCGCGCTGCCAAAATTTCGTCCGTCTTGACTTACTGTGATGCGTTTTTCATGTAAATTAATAACTTGTAACAACATAATTCTCGTGCAAGTTGGTGTAAGTAAACTCTTGCCAATTTTTCAAAGACTACAAATTGCACTCGCCCTTCGCGCTTGTGAAATTCTTATTTTAGTAAAAAACCAAACTGTACTCGAAATCACGTTCATAACTGTCTAGACTTCATTCATAGATTCATATTATGCAAAAGTACAATGTTGCTGCACTTCTTGGACTGGAAAATTCTGCATTCCGTCGGGGCGTCTTGTCGTCACAACTTTTGTTGTTCCGAAAAAGGCAAATTGGTTTATTACAAAAGCTTTGTTTTGAGGATAAAAAAACTAATTGTTACGTTTTCAAGGATCTTAAGGTGATTTGACAGATCGCAGACTTGTGCGCAAGTTTTTCAAATACTATCAGATCTAAAATTGCGATGTTATCCTCCAAGCTTTCACGAGAAAGTCTCTTGACCAACAATAATCTGTTCTTTACCCCACTAAAATGTTCACATTCAATTTTTTGTTTGATGAATAGTCCAAAATTGCCTGCTCTTTTTCCTGTCAATTGTTCTTTAAGCTTTCGCAAGATCGTTTTTATATCCAACAATAATTTCATCTCTACTCCATTTACATGTTTACCTGCAAGTTTTTATTAGATAGATATAGAGTCTAAACGATACGAGGGGAGCTGGTATAATTCCAAAGATTTGTTGAAAAATGTCACACAGTAGTGTAGTATCTTACAAGTATTAGCTAACCAAATCAATGTCTGCGATGAAATTATTTCGGCCTATATATTCCGTCTACTCAAAGCTGTAACGCTGGATTTACTTACTCATAAAAAAATTCGAGATACTTTTATCAGATGAAAGGTAACTTTCCTTACAAGTTTATCCAATCGTCTTTGTGATCCTTGTTTCGGTCATTTTGATACAGTAACAAAGAGAAAAAAGAAAGAAGTTATCTTGAAGTTAAAAATTTACCTTTCTTGTTTTAGAAGGTTGTAGCCTGTCTATTGATATCATTTCCTCAGTTTATGGAGAAATAATCTATAGAATTCCTTTTCTATATAATTGACAGCTTTCTTTCCTCCTAAATATCATGGTTTCTGTTCATAACGGAGAGCTGCGATGAACACTTCACGTTTTATTATTTCAAGGGTGCTCTCCGTATGATGTCCCCATTACTGCCTCATTACCAGATAGTAATTTCAATGCATCGTCAGTCTTGTCTGCGAGTTTTAACGAACCTTATATGGCCAAACTTTGGGGAAATTCGGAGTGGTGTCCGGCTACCGCCAGCCTAGGCGCCGAGTACTTCCAAGTGGATTTCTCGAGGCCTTTCCGAGTCTGCGCGGTTGATACTCAAGGGCACCACACGCTGTCCACGTGGTTTGTGTCTAGCTTTAACATTACATACTCGCTGAATGAATCCACGTGGTTTACAGCACAGCAGAATGAAACAAATGGGGTGAGTATTCTGCTCATGAGACCGGGAGACATGGGGGTGAACTGATTGGCGCATTGGAGGTCTGTGTTCGAGACCTGAACGCGTCATTTTGTTGTGATCTTGGGAAATATACCTTACTCTTACAGTGCGTCGCTCCACCTAGGAGTGTAAACTGCTAACAGCGAGCAGTCAGAGAGAAGTGATAAATTATATGGAGGAATGATAATGCAATGATTGCTTTTCATAATGTTCTCGTTGGGTGTCGGGGTGAAAGCAAGTTTGCAATCTCCATCAGTTGATAAGTTTCGTTGAAATGCAAAAATAGAGAGCATCAAAATTTTTTTCTTATGTTGTTGTTATATCAATTTAGATATTCTTAGGTAACTCTGATGGAAATACTGTGGTGAGAAATAAACTGAGTGGTAACTGGAGTTTTGTGGCAAGATTTCTGCGATTGATTCCTTTAACATGGAATGCTTGGCCATGTTTGAGGATGGAAGTTTTTGGAAGAGGTAAGATCCTACATTTATTTCATGATTATAAACAAATAAAAAAGCGACACTATAATCGAGGTGGAACAAATGAAACTATAAATGTTGTAGAATTCCAGTAGACTGCAAATGTCATAGTTGAAGATTTAGGCCCGAACCCTCTCGGAGCGATCGGAGACCAGATACAAGAAATCAGCGGAAATGGAGCCAAATTTTTCTCCAGCAGGGATAATCTTTGTTTGCAATGTGCTCATTCTTACTTCGATTGGCTTTCAGAGTTACCAGCCATTGATGTTAGATTCCCTCGAAACAAAACCGTCCTGGAAGGAGAACAGTTTACTCTCAGATGCCTTCTTTTGGGAAATAAGAACAATTTCAATGTCACTTGGATGAAGAAAAGTGGAAATGAAAGATCATTTCCGGTTGCAGGGCAAAACCTCACCGTGAATGCAACCAGACTTGACACAGGAGCATACATTTGTGAAGTAACTAATGGAGTGGAAGCCATTTTGTCGCCAATAGCTTATGTTACTGTGTGGTGTAAGTGTATTGATCAAGGATTCTAATTAACAGAACCAAGTCAAGGCCTGTTTCTCAACATAAAATCCGCAAAAAATTTTCCATTCGCTGTAGGTGTTATTATCACACGCTCTTAGCCATTGTTGTTTCTTTTTGGTCCGTCGTTTGATTCTGTTTCACTTTATTAAAAAGAGGCCTGGCCACAGGTGGAGGTAGCGAGAGAAGGAAGAAATTATTTAGATGCATATACGCTGGTAAGTCTATGAATTCATTTCCCTCGCGATGTGATTACAGCACAATATTATCCAAGTTTTATGCTTAATACCGCCTTATGGTGCGTCAATATTTCCGAGCAAGAAAAAATGCTCATTTTTTTTTATTTTATTCGAAGACCAAACCCAAAATTCACATCTCTTTTTTTTTTCAGATCCACCCTCATTTATTGATTTAAAAAACCAAACCAAAGAAATCGTTGAAGGCGTTAAAATGAGTCTTCAGTGTAACGTTACGGCGGCTAATCCAGAGCCGAACATTACCTGGTATAGTGCGACTGGGAATGACACAGTTCTTTCTAATGCAGTACATTTGACATTTTCCAATATTTCAAGATCAAATTCAGGGAATTATTTCTGTGTGGCTGAAAATGGAATTGGTCCAAAACTCACTTCTGGTATGATAACCCTGAACGTGCAATGTAAGTTCATCGACTTTCTTTTAAAATGCATTTGTAATGACAAAAAGAAACCATTTTGCTACTCTTAAAAAAACACTGCTGTTGGTAAAATAACATTATTCTCACCAACCAATGTGGCTTGCAAGGAAGAGATACCCATTTATGAAACGAAAAAAAAAATATTTCTTCATGGCGGATGAAAAATCGCCATCCCGGACAAGGTTAAGGCCCATAATTTTGATCACAACCGGTAGATTCCACAAAGGAAATCTTCATTTTTTCTTCAGATTCACCATCACTTGATACAAATTTCCCTCATGATGAATCAGCAGTGGAAGGAGAAAATGTAACAATGAATTGTGTTGTAAAAGAAAGTAATCCTGAACCAAACATCACGTGGGTAAAGCTGAGTGACCGTGCAAAGGTGTTTCCGAGTGGTGTTAGTCTGAGTTTGCGCAGTGTCTCAAAGGATGATGAGGGGGAATACCGCTGCCTGGCAGAAAATGGCATCGGTGAACAGATGATGTCGCGCATTGCTTACCTCTCAATGGAGGGTCAGTTATCCTAGAAACTCTACAATTTGATTGTTATTTCATGAAATAGTATTGTATAATCGTGTGGATGAGAGTAGTTTTGGAATGGACTGTTTTCGTTAACAAAGGCTGATTTATAGACGCAAGGTAACAGACGCACGGCAACATAGAATCTATTCGTTTTTTACGATAACAAAACAAAATGTTGTTAATGATGACGTCATGTTGTTAATGATCCCGACATGACGCCATGGTGACGTCGTGTTGTCAATTGTCACGGCATGAAGTCATGGTGACCTTTGATTTTGCTACTTTTTAGGAGGCAATGAAAAAGGAATAAGTGAAAAGGGCAGTAATCTTGTTGACGACAGTTGTGAGCGTAAGTAAATCACATAAAAGGCTTCCCCCGTCCTCTTCTTCTACGATTACTATCAAGATCTCAAGGTCCGAACTATTTTTTCTGAAGGACAGTTCGACTGATAAGGCTGCCAAACTTACAATTCAGCGTTTTATTCAGGACCTATTTGGTAAATAAATGACACTGTGATAAACCAAAATTTCACAACTCAGCTGAAACTTGAGAACTGATGACATAAATCACCACTACTTTGTTCCAAGGAGCCCAATTTTTCCCGGATGCAAGGCCGTAGCTAGTTAGCGGAGAGGTAGAAGGCCAGTTGCCTACCCCTTTTCCGCCCACAAAGTATCCAATGAAATTTGTTTAATGTCACCTCTCGTTGGTGTGGTGGGAAGATGATTTGAACTTTACTTATATTGCCTTTAAAACTTTTGCAACAAATCGCTCATCAAACAAAGGAAA